TAGTAAATGGCACATGGGCCTGTAGAAATGGCTCACGAGTCTATGGAAATGGCACATGGACCTATGTAGTAAATAGCACATGGGCCTATGTAAATGGCGCATGAGTCTATGTAAATGGCACATGGGCCTATGTAGTAAATGGCACATGCACCTATGGAAATGGCACATGCACCTATGGAAATGGCACATGGGCCTATGTAAATGGCACATGCGCCTATGTAAATGGCACATGCACCTATGGGAATGGCACATGCACCTATGGAAATGGCACATGCGCCTATGGAAATGGCACATGCGCCTATGGAAATGGCACATGCGCCTATGGAAATGGCACATGGGCCTATGGAAATGGCACATGCACCTATGGAAATGGCACATGCGCCTATGGAAATGGCACATGCACCTATGGAAATGGCACATGCACCTATGGAAATGGCACATGCACCTATGGAAATGGCACATGCACCTATGGAAATGGCACATGCACCTATGGAAATGGCACATGCACCTATGGAAATGGCACATGCACCTATGGAAATGGCAGGATACAGAGGCGTGTCTCAATGCAAGACTTATTTTACTAACCTAGTATATAGTATATGTTGGTTTATAATTGAGCTTATATTTGAGATGCTGTTTTAATCGACCAAAACTCTGTAGTCACAGAGCTTGGTGGATACTTGTAGTATAACTTGTATAAACTAACAATTACCTCATAGTTCATGTATAAATTGTCACATCAATAACAATTACTTAAACTCATAAATACATAACTATACATATAAACCTTTTAAAAAGTAAGAATCGCTATAATTGGAGCTATTTCAAGCATATCATAACTTGCCTTTAATCAATCTAATTAGGCACGTACCAAGGGAATCACATGTCTAGACAATATTTTTTTCTATTTCAGCTATTTATTCAAAAACCAAACATACCGACACAGCAACAAACATTATTATGAGAAAGCAAATGAACAAATTATTAAAGTGCCAGTCATGCTGTCATGTTCGAAATTGGGTGCCATGCGTCATGCAACGAGTGTAAAATTCATTTTACTAAGCTTTGATTTCTGTGCCCATTATATAATTTTCCATCATTGTATTAATCACATGCTACTCTGATAATATTTAAATAGTCACAATGGAGATGTGTATAATTTTGATGAACATATTTGTTTGGGAGAGTTATGTGTTGGGGTGACCGTAAATTGGTGTAGTGAACGATAGTATTTGATTCATTGGAACAAATGCACATTTATGTTTTTGACCAACAAAAATAGCTGCTGTAATAAAAAGCACACATGAGATATTTTTTTAATTTATGTAGAAACGATAAAAAACACAAAATTATAGGTATCAAGTTTATTGTAGTGTATTTGTATGCAATTCCAAACTCAGCAATCACTTAAAGCATGGTGGTCGTCGCGCAGTGCATGTTTGAATTTTATGTAAATAAGCAATGTATTTTACATACGTTGTAAACGTCGCTATGAGTCCCATTTCGAACAGGACGCTGCGTGACGACTACCGCCCTTTAATATGTTCACTTCAGTAGCACGTTCACATGTTTTTTGTACCAACAGAAACTATGTCTTGGTGTAAAAGAAAAACAAAATACGCCAGCATAAAGGGATTAGGAATGACAGTTTAAACCCACCCTTCCTCCTGAGGGAAAATAGACAACAAAGATAATTTTAAACACAACCAACAAACAGTGTCTACTCAGGTTATTAAATTACACACGGAAGAAAAGAAAAAATAAGAAAAGAAAAGGTGAAAATCAATTTTATAATGTATTGTTGTAATTTAGTTGTAGTTTATTTTAAAAAGCTTTAATAAAGCAAATACCAAAACTGAAATGTCAGATTTTATTAAGGGTGTAATAAAGCACTATTTTATTCTATTATGTCAAAGTACATGCTAAACAAAAATATTTTCCAACAACCAAAATATTTCCTCCAATTGAAAGTACTCTGCAAAATTATGCAACTTTCTAGACAATGATTTCTTGTATCATTTACAGAGAAAGAAGAAACTATATTTTGAATTCAGCAATAAACTTCCTAATTTTAATAGTTCTGATAGTACAAACACATTTGTTACTGTTATGAATATTACTTCAATCAGAGGTACATTACTTGGGGTTTGCAACTACGGTGACATGATACCAAGATCTCTTTCAATCTCGCTCTCGCATAAGCATTCCAACTCAGGAAAATGCGAATGCGCATGCCCGAGGTAACTAGGATACTGGAACGTCCAGGTGGACCAAAATAGCTGCATACGATATGACGGATTACGATAACTATATTTTCTGTACATTTTCGATGCATTACATTTTTTCACTATGAATGTGGTAATACATGTTTTATTGTTTTATTACAAACCGCCTGTGTCATGTCAGAAGGTCGTAGCACCAGTCTCGCTATCTACGAGATGAGACTTGAATGGGATCTTGACATGATGTCACCATACAGTACTATGCGCGTTGCAAACCCCAAGTAATGTACCTCTGCTTCAATTCATTTACTCAGACATGTTATTATATTTCTAAAATTCACTTGCCAAAAGCAGCTTATTTTACTATGCACTTTTTATTTAGTTTTGTTCTTAATTTTGTTTGAAGTAACTCTCTATTTATATTTTTGTGCACAAGATGAAGTTAAAATTAAAGATTATTATTAATATATCTGCAAGTTATAGTAGAATTTTGCTAAAAATCCAGTGGCTATTAAATTTACACTTCTTATAAGCAGTTGTGTGAATGTGTTAATAACTGACACCGCTGATAATTTGTCTCACGAGACGATACCTGATTTTTTAATATAGTGCATCACAGATATTTGTTATTATATTCCCTGGCCTGCCCCCAGGTATTATTGGAACAGATTGTTTAACTGGTTAATCAGGAAATAATGATATCAGTTTTTTCCACACTCATTCATTTTTAATTGCTTTAACCGCAGAGATATTGCACTGAAAAAACCAGCAGCTGCCCCAAAATAATCATTTCTTGTATTGTTTTATTTTTGTTCTGTTTTACTTATTGGTTTGTTTACTTTAGTCTTTAACTAGCTGTTGTTTAAATAAACAACATACTTTATTGTAATAATAATAATTATCTTTATTGCATTCATATCACTTTTAAGATTTTGAATAAAATGCAATACAGATGTGAATAAAGACAAACAAACAACTAAAGTGAGAATAAAACTACACACAGGAAAATAAAAAGTAAAATAAAAAAAAAAAAAACTAGCAAATAAAAGTAGGAAAAAAAAAATAATGGTAAAGTAAATTGGATACTATTATTATTTTCAAGATCCCGGTAAGGAGACAAAATCAATAAAGTTATTTACTTAATACTTACTCATTATACAAACAAGTATATTTAGCAATGTATTTTCAAGCTGACCTCATCTTGAGCATTATTATTGTGTATATATATATATATATATACTAATTGTAATTTCTTTACGGTGATAATAAAGTATTATTGTATTGTATTGAATTGTATTGTATATATTATTATTTTTTGATAAAATTTTAATTTACCATGTTTTTATAAGTTAGAATTAAATGCAATTTTATTTCAGGGAAATTAACAAAAGAGAATCTCTAAACACACATAAAACAAGATCATGTTCCTTTTTTTTTTAATTAAAAAAAATGTTTGTTTTTTTCAAATTTGAAGACAAGAAATATTAAAGAAAGACTCCTCAGGTTTCCAGAAATTAATGAGAAACTTTAGAAGATACTAGGAGGGCTTAGTTAGATGAAAGCCAAAAATAACATCTATCAAAATTATTTACAAATGTTGTTTTTCCTGAATGTTTCTATCTCTTCTGTAGTCGAAATAAAAATGGAATTGCCAATCTCGTGAAGGGATTACAGATGTACTGGGTAACTATAACAATTTTATTTAATAATGATGTAAAATTCTTTTCCAAATTCCAGACAGCACACTTTTAAATTATTGGAAGCTAGACAGAACCCAGCAATCCATTAACCACATTTTGATTAGAAAAAAAAATATAGTGATATGTACAGGATCTCATTTTGATTCGTTCATTCAGAGTTACCGCCTGCCAGTTTACCTCGAACAATATTACGCAAGACGTGACAAGCAAAGAAAAGGACGCAGCAGAACCAAGTCAAATGAATCCAACTCAAGTAATCTGCCTAATTTCTTACACCAACAACACAAATTTGACTCGATAATGGTTGCCATGGACACCCTTCTCCTTTGATTAAAAGATTAGGAAACAACAAAGCCGTAGATGAGAATTAGTTGTCATGGTTACAAGCAGGTAAATAGCAAAGTAATGAAGTTTGACGGGATATGATTTGATGGCAGAGTTTCCAACCGAGACTTGGGAGTCTAGGGGCAGTGTGTTAACATCGACACTGATTCAGCTTTAGTAAAAATATTGGTAATTAAGCATGCACGAAGAATGGAAATTGGCGAGTGAATAAACGGGGACAAACTTCTATTAAAAGTCCATTAGACACAATACTGGAGTCTGTGCGTTATTTTGACTTGACAAGAGCCGCGCATTACTCACACTAGATGCGTGGATTGTTGTGAAAGGATCAAATCTGCTTGTAACAAATTGAATGTGTTCATTTGTTACTACGTATTCAGCAAAATCACTTCTAGAATGCATTTCAAAAGACTGCATATGTATCTTGCATATGTGTGAAAAACATGTCTTCATCTGGTCAACTGTGCTATTTTAATAAGTCACTCTTATAATTGGCACAATTTTAAAAATGATGATAATGTACAACTGTAAAATCACTTCAATTTTGTGGAAGAATACTGTGAATCCAAAAAATGATAAATTTATTGTGATAAGCAATTTAATGGTGGTTGCAATGCCCATAAATCATAACATTTTGACATTTTTGAGTTTTGAGTTATAGCACCTAGTCGTTTTTTGTGCGAGAATGGGGGTGGAGGGGTTCTAACTTGTGCAATTCATTTATTGGTTTCACTGGTTCTAGTGTTCTGATGACCTATCAGACATTTAAACAGCAAAAACAACCTCTCAACACACAGGAAATTAGAACATTTTTACACCACAGAGTACAAGTTTCCAAGATAGCCAAACTTGAGACTTGTCTATTTTGAGTAGTGCAAATTTTACTTGCAAAGTAATAGAAAATGTTTTAGTTCAACCATTTCATTCTTTAGTATTGTAATTCTCCTGATGGCCAAGATAATGTTTCTATTGCAAAATTTCAGAAGGGCAACTTTTTTTCAGAAGCTTAGCAGTTTTAACAGAGGGGAAAATATGAAATAAAATTTCAGAATATAGAAGGTTTCAATGTGATATTATTACTTCTTAGATTTACACATTTGTTCTAGATTATAGAAATGCTGAAAAGTAAAAAATAATGATGGAAAATACATCAAACCATCCAGAGAAAAGTTGAAACAATTGGCTGAAGTCAAGTAAGGCCGCACTACCATATACTGTAAAAGTGTTAATTATTCACTGGGTATTAATTTTGCTTATTTCGCCGACTGGAAAATGTGCTAAATTAAAACCCAATGAATATGTAAAATTTAGCATAGAACACATTATCTAAATGATAAAACCATGAATTTAAAACCCCCTGAATATGCCTGAAATG